GCGTGGATCCTGCCGGGCCCGCGGGCACGTCCACGGAGCTGTGTTGGAGTCGTGGAATCCTGGATTGGTTTGGTTGGAAGGGACCTAAAGCTCATCCAGGCCCACCCCCTGCCATGGGCAGGGCCACCTCCCACTGGCCCGGGTTGCTCCAAACCCCATCCAACCTGGCCTGGAACACTTCCAGGGATGGAGCAGCCACAGCTTCTCTGGGCAACCTGTGCCAGTGTCTCAGCACCCTCACAGCCAAGAATTCATTCCCAATATCCAATGTATATTTCCCTTCTGTTAGTTTGAATCCATTCCCCTTTGTCCTGTCACTGCAATATGCAAACCATGTGTGTGTGAATTCCCTTATTTCCTTCAGTTTCCCGTGACAGCTCATGCTTCCTATCCCACTCAGCATTCCCGAGGATGGTGTAGATCCTCTGCAAAGTCCAGGGGGAGAATCTAAAGCTCCTTCCAGCCCTTTCCAAGGTGTTTGTGGCTGTCCCAAGGGCAGCCCCGCCACCACATCAGGCTCCAAGGACTTTTCCAACCTTAAGGATTCCACAACTCCAACTGATATGACCACATAACTTCTCACTAAAACAGGATGCTGAGGTGTTTGGTTCCCTTCCAGGGGCTGTCCTGGATCCTTGCTGCCATGGCCATGCAGATGCCACTGGAGGCAAACGCAGACACATCAGCAGAGGAAGAGAACTTTGGGCCACAACTCATATCCAGGTTGGAGGTAGGTGAGGAGTTACCTCTGGAGTAAATTTTCCAGAGATCTGCTGGTCTTTTTTATAGAATGGAATCCCCGAATGATATGGGTGGGAAGAAACCTTAAAGCTCATCCAGTTCCACCCCCTGCCATGGGCAGGGACACCTTCCACTAGCCCGGGTTCCTCCAAGTCACATCCAGCCTGGCCTGGAACACTTCCAGGGATGGGGCAGCCACAGCTGCTCTGGGCATCCTGTGCCAGTGCCTCACCACCCTCACAGGGAACAATTCCTTCCCAATATCCAATCTAAACCTACTCTCTGTAATCTAAACCTTTTTCCTTAACAACAAGGTGTACCTGAAAACTCTGTTGCTAAATTCTTACTTGTGTTCTGTCAAAAAAAAAACCCCAAAACAACCCAGAAATGCCAATCTGTGTTCTTTTTCCTCCCTCCTTCCCTCCCAGCAATGTGGCATAAATGCCAATGATGTGAAGAAGCTGGAAGAGGCTGGATTTCACACTGTGGAGGCTGTGGCTTATGCACCAAAGAAGGAGCTGCTGAACATTAAAGGCATCAGTGAAGCCAAGGCTGACAAAATCCTGGTAAGGATATCATGGAAATTTAACCCAAGTTATCTCAGGAGTTTATTTCTATTGGTTTCAAGTGTTCTGTGAATTTAGAAGGTCTCCAAAGGGCTTTAGAGGTGTGACATGAACTCTGATGAGGGAAGACAAAACCTACCAGGGCAGAACTGAACAGAAAGGGTGATGGTGGGGTGGAAATTTCCATAAAATACACAAAAGTGGATGTTGGAGCTTCTTGGGGCAGAATTTCAGTTCTGTTAAAAACTACCAACTAGTGCACAGTCCCTACAATAAAATGATACAGGTGCTGCTCCACAAAGCAGGAATTGTTAATTCCTGAGGGGGGTTAATGAATGGGATGAACTCTCCTTGCCCTGCTCAGTTTGGTTTCCTGCAGGCTGAGGCAGCCAAACTGGTCCCAATGGGTTTCACCACTGCCACAGAATTCCACCAGCGAAGGTCAGAGATCATCCAGATCACCACTGGCTCCAAAGAACTGGATAAACTGCTCCAGGGTAACCATTTTATATCTCCTTACTGATTAACCTTAGTTATTGGGGTGGGTTTTTTCCCTATGAACATGATCCTTGCACAAACCACACCAGAGAATTGGTGGAGTGAAAAATCCCCTCGAGTATTACTCGAGTGGAACTGATCTGAATTTAAAAGCTGCAGAAGTAGTTTTAAAACCTCAGTCATGATGCAACTTTTTATCCACAGCATGAACAAACCTCAGGATGCAAACTATTTTTTTCCAATTAGTTTGGAGAGTTTTATTGATAGCTATTCTTCTTTTCCCTTCAGGGGGAATAGAAACGGGATCCATAACAGAGTTATTCGGGGAGTTCCGGACTGGGAAGACACAGCTGTGTCACACCCTGGCAGTAACCTGTCAGGTGAGTACTTCACCTCTTTAAAATCAAGTTTTTCTCCATCGCCACAGTGTTTGGATAATGGCTAATTTGGGAATTTTTCTTGATTTTCTAAGTGTTTATTGCTTTCCAGAGTTGCTATTCCATAAAATATTCGAGGATTTGACTTAATTTGATCATTTAGTTGATGCCCTAAACTTACTAGCTCAGAGTTGAGCACCTGTCCTTCTGGTAGGGTTATAGAATCCTGGAATGGTTTGGGTTGGAAGGGACCTTAAAGCCCATCCAGTTCCATGGGCAGGGACACCTTCCAGTAGCCCAGTTTGCTCCAAGCCCCATCCAACCTGGCCTGGAACACTTCCAGGGATGGAGCAGCCACAGCTTCTTTGGGCAACCTGTGTCAGTGCCTCAGCACCCTCACAGGGAAGAATTCCTTCCCAATATCCCATCTATTCCTGCCCTCTGGCAGTGGGAAACCTTTTCTCCTGACACTCCAGGGTGATAGGTACTGCAGGGAATGTGTCCGAGATTGGAACCAAGAATCTTTCCTCTCACTTTTCCCAGCTAAATGTGCCTTTAATTGCAATTAAGTTGGGGTGTTACTCATTGTATAACATCAGCAAGGGCATAATGCAATATCTGGTGGGTTTTATGGACACTTTATTCCATGTTCATTCATTTCCTTCTCCTTCAGCTCCCCATTGACCGCGGTGGTGGCGAGGGAAAGGCCATGTACATCGACACAGAGGGCACCTTCCGCCCGGAGCGGCTCCTGGCTGTGGCTGAGAGGTCTGTGAGGGGAAAGGAGTGAATATAGATACTCACAGCTTAGCTGGAAGGCATTTCATGCAGGTCCTGGAGGGTGATTTGACTGCTGTTCCTCTCTCTGCTGCTCTCTCCCCACAGCTCTCGTGTCATTGTCCCTCCGCAGGAAGAGCAGCAGGGAGAGGAATATCATGGAAATGATGAACACCTTGGAAGATCATGGAATATGAGCTTCCCAGCTAGCTTGGGACAGTACCAGCTAGGTCCTGTTAGCTCCTTTTAGCTGGATCTAATCCTTCTGGCTTTTCCTGCAGCAAGGAGTGCTCCCATATTCCCTGTCACCAGGGGATATTTGGCAACAAACACCTCTTGGGCACTGATGAGAGTGAAGTGATGATTGCAGCAGGCACAGGTCTGTCTATTCTGGCTGTGTGCAGAGAGAGCTTAGAATCATGGACTTGTTTAGGTTGGAAAAGGAATGGCCTTTTCCATGACTAAAAGGCATTTCCTTTTCCAGTCCAACCATTCCCCCAGCACAGCCAAGGCCACCACTAACCACGTACCCGAGTGCCACATCCACATGGCTTTTAAATCCCTCCAGGGGTGGTGACTCCACCACTGCCCTGGGCAGCCTATTCCAATGCCTGACCACTCTTTCACTGAGAATTTGAATTTTCCTTCCAGCCTAAACATCCCTTGGTTTCATTTCAAAATGATTCCCTATCATTCTGTTCTCTTTTCATCACCACGTGGTGCATTTTTGCTGCCTGTTCTTCTCTCTAACACTTTCCCAGGAATGTGAGTTTTTATTCCAGCCTTTAGGCAAAGCTCCTGGGTAACTCCTATGGAGGAAGCTGTCACTTAGAGGTGTCTTTTCCCTGATTTCTGCAGATCCCTTGGTTTCATTTCAAAATGATTCCCTATCATTCTGTTCTCTTTTCATCACCACGTGGTGCATTTTTGCTGCCTGTTCTTCTCTCTAACACTTTCCCAGGAATGTGAGTTTTTATTCCAGCCTTTAGGCAAAGCTCCTGGGTAACTCCTATGGAGGAAGCTGTCACTTAGAGGTGTCTTTTCCCTGATTTCTGCAGGTATGGCCTGTCTGGCAGTGATGTTTTGGACAACGTGGCCTATGCCCGAGGCTTCAACACCGACCACCAGACACAGCTGCTGTACCAGGCCTCAGCCATGATGACTGAGTCACGGTAATGACACTGATTTCATGGATTTCATTCCCAAATTGGATTGTATTTTGGCATACTCAGGTGACAGGCTGGCTCTGTGGGCAATCAGTTGTCACTAAGACCTCTTGCTGCTGGAATTTTGAGTGACATAGACACTGGCTTGAACTGACTTCACTGCACAAAGACAATAAATTGTCCCTCAGTGCCAGCTGAGAAACCACTTAAAAGCTGAGCTCGTAACTGTTTTGGGGAATACTGCTGATTATTTTCCAGCTCCCAGGAAAGCTGTGCAGGCAGTTTGGGATTGGAAGTAAGATTCACACCCTGTTAGAGAGCAGGTGATGGTGCATGTAGGAACCTGTCCACAGGTACATGTGCTGCCCAAAGAGTAAGTTTAGAAGCCATGAATAAATAAACCCATCTATTTTTTTAAGTCATGTAGGAATTTCTTGGGGTTTCCTGACTTTTATTATGTGGTGAATAGCCTGTATGGTGCAAGATGGAGGCAGTGAGGCTACACAATCACAGCCCTGACTGAGGTGTGGGGAGGAATTGCCATCACACCTGGAGCTCTCCAGGCACTGCCACACTCCAGTGTGGGATTAGCCATAGCTGGAAGTGCTGCTGAGCCCTCCACTCCCTTCACCCAGGTATGCACTGCTGATTGTGGACAGTGCCACAGCCCTTTACCGCACGGATTACTCGGGAAGAGGGGAGCTCTCTGCCAGGCAGATGCACCTGGCCAGGTTCCTGCGGATGCTGCTGCGACTGGCGGATGAGGTAAACCACCAACTTTGCTTTTCTCTCAATAAAACTCATCACTTTTCTTATAAACCCCCAAAACTTGGTACAAATGCCTTTGTGCCCACTCAGCCCCTGCTTCCATTGGTTTTGAGAGGCTTTCTGCCATGGCTCTGGGCACCAGAGAGTACAGCA